TATCAGAGCTTCGATCAATGGAAATTACAATCATCTTCATGATCGATATACTCTGAATTCAAGTCGTGCCGGCGAGTCGAAGAAATGGCCCTTGCGGTTGCGATCTTCATCATCGACTCTGAGCCGCGTTTCCATCTTCTTCTACGCGGTTTCCCAGGACGGCTTCCTGTTCCCAACGCAATCAGCAAAGACTGTGAAGAGGGGAGGATTCACCGCCCGTTGAATCGGGAAGAAGAACTCATGCATGGAAAAAATCCACCTGCGCATTCGTTCACTGGATGAGGTCTTCTAGGGTTCAGGGGACCCTCCATCGTTCACGGCAACCTGGATGGATCGCGAGCCGCTGTCCATGGGACAAAATAGGTATTCATGGCGCCGTTGGCTCGAAAGTTTCGCTCCTATTGATTTTGGTGGCACATTGTAGGTTTTACGAGTGCTGACATCGATGACGACCCCGGGGTATAGCGTGGCTTTGTTTTCGTTAGCGATGGCGGCGCTAAACGACGGCGCGATTTTGTCGCTCGCTAAATCTCTCTATCTGGCTCTGCTCACGGAAAACGCTGTAGGGTGCGTAGCGCTTGTTTGAGTTTCCCCGTGAGCGTCAGTGAGTTGGCTTGTTTGCCTACACACGCTTCGCGAGTATGGCGAGTTGGAGAAACGACCGGGATGACTATCGAACTACTGAGGTGTAATATAGCCACGTCTGGGTCTCCCATTGTCAACAACGTCAATGACTCTTGTGCTTTTCGGAAACTCAAGACAACGACAGCGAGCGACCACTCGCGCCCTGTTTGGCGAAAATTATCGAATACTGTTTTCGGCGTCCGAAGCTCTCCGGTTTCGTATTTTTTGAGCGCTTCCGTCAGGAATACGGCGGAAGACTCACGATGCGACAAGGGCCGGGCGGTAGGAAGTGAGTCCGAATCGAGAAAGAGATAGAGCCTTCTTGAAAAGGACAAATGTCTCCCGGAATGAGCAGCGACCCGATAAATACTCCCGGAGTCCTTCGCGCAAGTGTCCGCCCGTCTTCGTTTTAGCCGCCCCCGGTTTGTCTGCCGCTCAGACAAATAGCAGAGTTCGTTGAAAAATGCCCATTCTCCGACGACTTGACGTTTGGGTCATTGTAGTCGACGGCCATGATTATCGAGTAGGGAAACAAATCGCAAGGTGCTCAATCGCACACAGAGATGAGAGGAAGGGTGGAAGTACCAAAATAATGAAAATTGGGATTTTCCTCAATCTGCACTTCATAGCATCCCACATGTGGCTATGATGGAACAAGATGTATGAGGGGTTCATGGGAAAATCGATGTACCTCCCAATCACACCCATCAAGGGTATCGACGCTCTGCGTGGATGGAGGATCAATTCCCCATTCATATTCGCGATCTCGGTTAAGCATAACGAATGCGCGAGCTCTTCCGATGGTGAGGATTGAGGATATTCGTGGGCTTCATACACCTAATTGAAGGCGCTATCGAGCGGAGAGAGCGCGATTCTGTGAACCCGAGCCCGAAAGCTTCCGAAAGACTCAAACAATGACATGGGGCAACAATCGAGGTCGATGCGAGGACTAGATATATCGCATGTAAATCGCGAACGATCGGGAGCTCCTCGAGAGATAGCGAGCTTCGATAATTTCCATGAAGCGATGAGCGATGGTCAGTGGGAGGCTCGATGAAAGCCACGGAAAATTTCTACGGGAGCGCATGTAGCCGCCTTGGGAGGATGGGCTAACGATAAGACACCAACGTCGGTCATCGTTGTTGCGGAGGCGATACCGCCAATTACATCGGACACGCTGTTTTGTCGCCGCTCGCTGGACGCTGGCCGCGCGATCGCTCGCTTGGTGCAATCGCCGAAAGCCTATTGGGAGTGCATTTCGAGTTTCGACAGATATTCGCTACGAGAGACAGGATTCCTGCAAGACGTCTCCGTACGGAATTTTTATTCATATCCTGCGCGGTCGTCTACGAGAAACAAGGGCTACAATGTCAGCTTCATCGGAGCGGGGAGGATCGGCGGCGACGGAAGAACGTGGGAAGAATTCGTCGCCAGACAAAAAGGAAGTTTTTCTTCACCTTCCCCGGCTCCAACCTAGAAGCTTTGATCCCGAATAATCAATTTGGGAGTGGTAGACATCTACCGGTGCGATCACTAGTGCCGGCCGCCTAACTCATTTGCAGCTTGTTGGGGCGCACGCCGCACCGCGGAGGACAACCGGGAGGAATCGATCGGATTGCTCTCATATAATCGAGGGAACAGCGCAGAAGTTCCGAAGGTCTCTATTCAGCAACCGACCTGTCTACTTGGAATAAGGAAAAGGTTCGCTCCCGGGCCGATCGGTCAGTCTCCAGAAGAAGTTGCGAAAGGCTCTATTTGTATTCAGGTCGCATTTTCATCGCATCGGGTTCTTATTGAGATTCGCTCGAGCGTTGAAAAAACGGATTTGCGATGGAGTCTCGTAGAAAGTCCATAGTTCAGTCCAAGGCAGGCGAGATAAAAGAAACCGCGTCAAGCAAAAATGATCCAGGACGCCCTTCTCACGATGCCTACGGTCCGGATATCCTACTACTGTCGCTCTAGAGGTGTTCTGGTTTTTAAAATCGTCAAACAGTATTCGCAGAAAAGCACGCGCGGATGATCGTGATTTCGCCCACCGTGATTGCTCAAGGGAGTCCGAATCCCGAATTGCATATTAAGAAGCCGCGGGGAGGATCCGACAGCATTCGTCTTGACTGTGAAGAAATCGAGGAGCAATTATCGCGTGGCAGAATCAGGTCAGCAAAGATTTCTCAGACGGGCTAGGCTGCAAAAAAACACCGAACACTGGCATCAGGCCGGATAACTCTATTATCCATTCCGGAATCGATTCCTCGAAAGGATTTTATACGAATACTCGTGTTATCTACATTGTATGGATTCGAGGGCTCCTAGAATCTGCTACGAGCTTCAAGAACGTTGACCAGTGATTGAGAGAAATTCAAGGGGGGAGCTCATGTCCTTAGTATCAAGTTTCTGGGTCACTTTACAAATTTTCTGATTTCCCTTTCATCGCTCCGGCTATCGACGCTCAAACCTTTCTCGCTCTTGTGGGGCTTAAATAGTGGTATCTTTCCCTTCCATTCGCTCCCTGAATCCACAATTATACAGAAAAAGAAAGCAAAGGCGACTAATAATTTGGGGAGAGCAGCCGCCGCGCTATTGTTTTCTTCTATAAGAACAAAGTTGAACTTTGTGAGAATTATCTGATGGTTTTCAAACAGTGCTGACGAATTTTCTGGTTCAGCGAAGAACAAACAGTGAAAAAAAGTATGACTTTTTCGGGACACAGCGCGTCTATCAGGCTCTTTGGCGACCGACGGGCGATTTTCATGGCGCGCCTGTATTCTTGGCCCTGGATAGTTCAGCGACTTTTTTCTTTGTTTGCGGTAATCGACGTGACAGCCGGGGTGGATGAGAACGCGTTTGTAAGAACATCTAAGGAACACATGAGACCCTAGATTTCGGAGTTTCCCGCCAATTCAAACAAGCCCCAGTGTTCTGGATCCTCTATGAATAATGTCTGCGGTCCCTGATCTTGGCCTACGAAATCTGTTCCTCTCAATGGTTACAGTCGCCGATGATCAATTGTATTTCTCCAATCTTGAGCCATTCCTAGAGGTAGGCAGAAAGTTTTGAGCTAGACTGGGGATACGGGGATGCGCATCAATATGACCTTCTAACCCGTGAGCTCACTCAAAATCAAATATCCGATGCCGCGGAGTACGTCTCTGCGCCCGTGTCTGTGACAACTTGCTATAACGCTCCGAGAGCGGTCCAGAGGAGATTTTGATGGAGAGAGGACCAAGTATTCCGAAAAGATCAAGAAAGCCTGCGACAGAGACATTATCACGCCAAAAGATCAGCGACGGGCTTCGCAGCTTTGAGTTCCTGCTTGAGAGTACGCCATCGTGTCTAAGCAAATGAGGAAATTGCCCTCGTCTATCTCCATCGAAATATTTTTTGCTCTTACACCTGGTGATAGGAAAAGTCCGATCGTCCCGGGAAACTTTCTCAAGTATCGAAGTAGCTTCCACTGTATTGGTGGTCTTGCACGTCTTGACGCCGCGCCGGCGTCTCCATCCATCTTTATTAGACACAAGGGCTCATTAACGGAGTCTCGAGCCCATCGGGCAAAACCAAAGTTGCGGTTATTTGTTCGCACGGACATTGCACGCTTACAAAACTGCGAGTCGTCGGTTTCCTTCTTTCCTCGTTATGTCCCCGTCTGTCATTAAGATTATCCCACACGAGCAAAACGACGAGCATACGGCGATCAACTTCTCGCATGCCGTTCGTCCTCCCCTTCTTCCCAGTTGCTCGACAAATGAATGAATGTCAAAGGCTTGTCAGCTTTGACCACTTCACTGAGTTGATGTAATCGGGGCATTCACTCCATGAACGATGCTTAACGATGCGAACAACGTCGAATGTGTCGCCGCGCACAATAATCACAAGTCACAGCACGAGCAGATTTGCAGGGAGACTAAGAAAACAAGAAGATTGAGCAATCGCGCTGCTGATCGCCACCATCGCGAAGGTAGACTCGTCCCTCATTGTCAAGTGGAGAACTAAAGTCGGTGGCAGGGCGAGAATTTTCCCACGCGTTCGTCGCAACGAATAGGCGAAGCTCTCCATCGAGATCCAGCGGATGCGGATGCCCTCAGGAGCGAGGAGATGCGAGACATCAGGAGATGTATCAGACTACAATCCTCCAACAGCCGCACCCTCAATCCTTCGATTTATCGTCACAGTTTCTTTTTCATCACATGACGAGTGTGGCATCGAAACGTCTACGGGGGTCCGTCTCGCCTCCGGCGAGAATATCCTGCCGGACATATTACTTGGAGCCCCACCCAGTGATTTGTAAATCTATCTAGAGCTTTTTCTCACGCGGAACTCCCTTCTGATTCCGTCGGCCTGGAAATAAAAACCATGCAGGCACAAGCTGTACTCACCCTGAGTATTCTGTTGAAATCGTGCTTATCCACACGCAGGAAATGACAGTTTTCTTCGCGAGTTATAATGGTCGCCGCCCGAGGGGCATCATTCACTAAAGCCAATTTGCCGAAGTCATCGCCTTCATGCAATTCACAGACGACACCCTGGAGCAGAGATATCAAGAATTGTCGTAAGATCGATCTTTTCACCTATGTGGTCGCCGCCAGGACATTTCTTAGCGATTCCGACCCCGTCTCCATAACCGGGTGTTCCCGTCTTTCGCCTCCTCAACGATGACAGCGAGTATTGATGGCGTTTAACGGACCGCGTTTACATCATTGGACAATTGTCACGCGTCGAACTCCGTCCGAACAATTAGCTGCCGAGCTAAATTGTCCGGCGTCGCTCGAGTGACTCATCATTATCAATGACATTGAGCGGATAGAACCGGTGGATCAGAGTCACCATGCGCCGAATGGACATCAATTGAGAATGTCGAGGAACGCAGCGGTTCCTGCCTGACTAAATGGTTTACAAACCTTGCCGTAGATGACGACGTTCACTGATCCCTTCAAAATGATGTACCAGGACTTCCCTTCGTCTCCTTGATTGAACACTGCAATATTCGAGCGAGTCGGATCATCGTGGGAGCTTTCGACAGCTGTCAATAAATACCCGGAGCCCCCGCGAGTTTCCTAAAGCGATTTTCTCTCATCTAGCAGAAATGAGGTATGGAGAGATATTCTCTGAATTTCCCGAAAGAACTCGGGTAGCACTAGCTGAAAACTAGCGACGGGAATCGCAAATCTAATCGAAGCCATGAGCCGAAATCGCCGAGGAACTCGAATCTCGCGATCGGGTTTCATTCACGGTGTTCTCAATTGGAATTAACTTGTCGCTGTCCATCACAGGATCGCGAGGGCGGAAGTCTACTTACAAGCAGTATCACGTTTTGGGTGTGACTCGAACACCATGACACCGGAGAGCTCCCTCTTCACTGAATTCGACAAGTGTGACAGGGCTTTGATTCGAGTCAGTTCCTCGTATATAGTATCTAGGTCATCCTGGCGTCTCTCCGATGGACTGTGGAGCAACAATCCGTAATGAGGGACTAGAATGAAACTGTGTCTATAACGTTTTTTCGATCTATTCGAGAATAAAGCATCGGTATGCAGGGGAGGATCTGCATTCATTTGAATACATGGATACGCTCCTTTGCTTGGAGTTTCTGTTAGAGAGATTCACCGGGTCTCTCGGAATCATATTATTCGGTCGGAGATTCCTCAACGCCCAGGACACTTACGGTTTACGCAGAATCATTCGCAAATTGGCATCGGGAGCCAACTGCATAAGGTACACAAGCCAGTCTTGCAGTTCTGCTTCTGCGATAGGTCTCTCCTCCGCGGTTGGGAGCCGTGGGTGTTCCGCATCGTCGTCTCGGAAGCGGTAGAACAAATATTTGTCCTCGAATTGACGCTCTCCGGTAACTGTAGTCGGTAAGATTGATTCTATGACATTATCGGACGAAACACGACGTAGGTTTGACAGAAATCTAGATGGGCTGTGACGTCTGCGAGTACTGATCTAAGTCCGAATCGCGATTCCCTGCGAGATTCCTGAGTCGCTAGCGCTCCTCTCATCGGGCTCCTCTGTCTGATCAGAATCGAGCTCCGTGAAGCGGTCGCATTATACTATGATCCAAGGATTTTCTCTATCGACGTCTCTGTCTTCTGGAGCCTTTGATGTCAGTCTCGCGACGAATCTCGCCGTATCAGTGACGAGACCATGGGCTCTTTGTTGACGATTGCCGCAACGATGTCTCCACAGGCGAGAACAGAAGCAGCGCATCGTGTCTTCCGAGAATGACGTCAATAAAGCCAAGTTGTTCGTCTCTTTGTTCGTTCTCCCGCTTTCCAACTACAGCCTCGTTCGTGAAGAGACTCGTCTGAGAAGGGCAGCCTCCTCCCAATTTTCTCAAGAGCAAGGAGCAGCGACGATAATTGAGTGGAACTGGGGAGCGAAGGGAATTCGCGAGCAGCTCGACATTCCGAATTAGAAATTAGGTAAGCTGATGTTTCGCGGACTGATAAGACAAGGCCCCGAAATCTAGAGCGCTTCTCGAATTCAGGCCGAGCTCGGAAGAGGACGGTAAACTCTCGACGAGGAGCCTCCCAGGAAGAGGATACTCGAGTCACGTACCATGATTTAGACATCCCTCCTCCAAGAGTACCTGCCACATGCCAGCTGCTTGCGCGCGGGACGATAAGCGCACATGAACGCAGCCCATCTGTAATGAGGTATTTGGGGTCAGATAGATGCGCAGACTGGGTGAGAGCTTCCCGTTCTTCCTGAAGACCATTTTCTACTGAATGCAATGTCTTCCAAAGTCCCCGAGTCTCCATTCAGACTCAAATATCTAATTCTCACAGATCAGCAAGTTCCTAGATTGATTCAAACAAGAGACACGGACAGGCTTTGAGGATTTTCTCGGGAGCTTTCGAAAGCAGTGACCATATAAAATCGTCCCGGTGATCCGCTTTACCTGCAACATCCAGTCGACCATCTCGGTGCCGACCATACACCTTTTAAAAGCTCTTCCTGGCGTAACTCGTCGATCTCGAACCAGTTGCGGTGCCTGATACAGAAGTACTGTTCGGAGGACCCACGAAGCTCGCGCCAGCGCTGAAGCCGACTGAAAAATAATAGCTTAACGATAAATTCCGGAGATTCGTGAGAAAAATGATGCTTCCACGAGAACGTTGAAGTCTTGGAGGCGAAATATCCTCGGACGACACTCACGTTCTGCTGTTGCAGATGGAATTGCTGCTGAGGCTGCGGTTGTTGTTGCTGCTGTGCTTGGTGTAGATGCAGCTGCTGAGATTGTTGCATGCTCTGTTGATTTTGTTGCAAACCCGCGACTTGCGGCACGGGAGGGATAACCTTGGAGGAAGGATAGAACTTGTTGTTGAGTTGAGGATGGGTGTCTTGTAACTGAAATTGGCCTTCACCCGAGAGCCGGACAGAATTCGTAGAAGCTCGACGAATCGGCTCTGAAATATAACGATTCCACATTATCAATGTGCCTGGTGCTTATTGCAAATTTATTTCTTCGAGAAACCTTGACTGACAGGGACCGCATTCAGTTCCCTTAGCGGAGGAGATATTCCGAGATTGATTCCTTCTCTCCCCGCCGCATCAATGCTTACCGGGAGGACCGATGTGTTCAGGAGCTCCAAGACTTGTCATTTTATTGAGAGTCTGATGAGAGCCTTGATGAATGGATGATTGTGATTGCTGTTGCGTGGCTTGTTGAGAAGCGAGAGATGGGTGTACGGGATGATGAGTGATCCCCCTTAAGGTGCTAAGGGGGGAAATCATGTCTTCCATCAAATGTCGATTTCTCTGTAAAGATTGGAGGATCGAGAATTAGACATCGCCGACGGAATTCACTGCTCTGAGGGAGAATGAAATCCCCGTATCGGAAGTCTCCGGGGGTCGTTACACGCTCGGGGGGCCACCCCCCTGAGGATCATCAATGCAAAAATTACCATACGCCAAAAGACTCGATTTCTTCAAGTCTCCCCGGCAGATCGTGGATTCGTGGCGCTCGGTTGGCTTCGATCACAGCACCATGAGCGAATCTCCGAGGAAGATCCGAGTACGAGCTCGAATCCAAGCGACTTGCCAACTCCATGTTCTACGGAAATGTCTCCCACGACCTTCATTCGGGACTCTCGATAGCTGTCCCTGAACCTGTCTGACCCCGAGGTGAAAGTTACGGGTGAACCCACGCATCACGCAGTACTATGTGAACGCTGTTCAAGATCGCGGCCAGTCTAAGAAATAGCGAAGCCCGCAGCGCAACGAGAGCCGCTGATCAGCCCCACGGCTGGAGCCACCTGTTCTCGCGAAGCTCGGTATCGCACGAGAGTCTTTTCATCGGAAGTCTGCGCAACTCCGAAAGAGAAGAAGCTGCCGACGCGCAGGTCGCTCTCGAAAGAGAAGTCACTGACTCGTCACTGCGGGCCTACATACGCCACTCACCGAATTGATTCTTTTCATTATGATATTGCGCCACCATGCACCCTCATGTGCTCAAGAGTCTCTCGAGACCAATGTTTCCCAACCACAGTGAGGGCTGACAAAGTGCCAAATACCTACGCGGATCGCGCTTTCGCAACGCGGGGAGCCTAGCTGCCTGGAAGTACTTGGGACACTTAGGTCGTCCTAGGATGACTTCCCTTTATTTGTCGAGACAGAGCAAATAAACGCGAGATATCAACCGCGAAGCTGGAAAATCCTCCAAGTTCGCAGGTGGCATCGAGCCTTCGAATTCTGATGGAGTAGCGGGATCAGGGCTTACAAAGCCGCTAAAATAACGGTCCGTACGGGATTCGACAATGCCGATGAACAATGATCGGGGAGTTTTGCGAAAGCGTAACTCGTGCTTTTAAATCAGAAATTCTGTGTCGGAATGTTTAGAATTCCCTCCAGTGACGGCTCGGCAACGCTTCCGCCGTATCTGTCGTTACGTCCCGCAGGCAGTGCGTCTGCTGGTGTCTCTGTCGGCGTCCTTAGTGCGTGGGTCGCCCGGATTTCCGAAGTATGACCTCGGTAATGTTTCAACGATTCTCGCGCAGTGGATCTCCCTAAACGGAAATTCACTCCATTTCAAAAGGCCCCCTGTAATCTGCATATTCAACGAAACGGAATCAGTGATTGAACATTCTATCATTGCGAGCGTAGGTTCTCGAGCGAGCGGACGAGATTTCCCGAAGTTCCGGACTCGTCAGCCGCTGGCAGTACCCCTGACTTAATGTTTCCGACCGCTTCCTCGGCACGAGCATCTATTTCCAGAAATATCAGGTCGACACCATGTTTGCGGAATATATTCGTGGCCAGCTATCGCAAATCAATCACGAGCAGCTCCTGAATTCTTTCGCGCCCGGTTGAGCGACCTCGCCGTGGATTCTCGCAGAGTATCGCGCAATGACGCCTGATCGATAGCAAAACATACAAAAACACGTTTGACCGAGGCTCTTTCTCTTTGCTTTCCATTCTTCCTCAAATATAATTCCCTGCATTCTCCGGAATCACTGACTCGATTACTGTTGCCTTGGGAGGCTTCACAACAATTCGTGTAAGCGCTCATGAAATTCTCCTTCTTGTCGACGTATCTCGAACGAATTGATAAGTGTCCTGTCTCTGAGTTTTCTGGACATCACATGAATGGCTCTCTCGATGACGCGGGTGAAATATTGCCCCGAATTAGGAGTCTGTATTGTTCGCTGTCAGCCTCCCTCGACCGAACACTTTAGTAGGAGATATCATAATGTGAAATATCAGCCGAGCTCAATGCGGTTGACCCTTCACGCGTATTCACCCGGGCCAAACTCTCTTAATGCTCTCTTCCTGGCGATATTAATAAGGATATGAAGAATCGGACTCAGAAATAGAGACTCCGTGGTCTGTATTCTTGGCTCAACTCCTGCGTCTCTGGGACGCCCCGAGTATTCGTAAATAATTTCCGGGACGTGAATGCATGAGTCCAACCAGAAATTCGGCAAACGACAGGTCATCACGGAATCTAGATGCGACCAGCTCACCGCGACGCAGTTCATTCGCGTCACAAGGCCATATCGCGGGTCCGCAAACTAACGATCGTCTTATTTTTCCGGCTCTCCCACCCCGGAATTCATCGACGAAGCAGGTCTGCGGATAGGCCTGCGAAGTCAATGAAAGAACAGCTTGCATGGCAATCTCCCTCGGGAGCAAATACAAGCGAATGAATCCTCCCGAGTTTGTTGGAACCGAAGCGCGCGGAATCTCCATTCGATGGCAAGCGACCAGCTCCGGAGCATCGTGCGATGTCAGCTTTCCAGCAAATCGCCCCAATCAGCCCTGATTCGACTGATGCTATTTCGCGAAGTATTCAACCGGCTGCTTTGAGCAATCAGTATCCCCGATAAACGAATCTGGGCCTTCCCGCAAATGTCGAGAGGACGGGGTAATGACATCAGAGAGCATTTCTGCGAGCGAACCTCGTCCGACATTGGAGTTTCCGGATCCCAGCGCTGGTGGGGGTTATCTTATAGTTCCGTGCAGCTCGGATTCATCATCTTGGAACGTCATCGACTCCTTCACAAGAAATCAGGAGATCATCATCGGCTCGACGCGCGCCGCTCCACGATGCACGGCCACAGCTCTCGATATTCATGAGCCCTTGCGAATTTTTGGCTGTGTGAGACAGAAGTCATACTTTGAGAATTTCCGCGAGGGAACGACTCTCTGATATCCTTTACTGTATGCACCCGGTTCTTCGTGCTCTGTGGGGGCCTTATCTGTCGACTCGTTGGCTGATGGCTTGTTTTGAGCATGTGTTCGGCGCGGCTTCGCGAAGAGAAATCTTGCTCCCAGTCTGGACTCTTGATGTCCCATTGACGGATGTCCCTCCAACGAGTCGGAGATCATTCCCTATCGATTCGGAACATGAGTCAAATCGACCAGCGGTATGAGGTTTCCTGGCGCACGACGGACAAATTAAAATCTTAAAATGTAATAAGATCAGCGTCATACTTAAGGAATCCGTTCCAGTCGAGCTTCGACGGATCTCTAGTCATCGCTAGTCACAATTTCAAGCATTTCGAAGCCCCAGTGGATTTCGATTGCGCTAATGCTCTAGAGATCTCCTCTCTACGAAAAGGTTCCCTAGCATCCCAAATATCGTAGAACCGCGACTCCAAAGAAGTTGCTCGAGAGACAGGTAGTTCGAACAGAAATGAAAAAAAAATATCGGCAAGGGGCATTGAGCACAAAACCTAGCGGCGTTTGTAGACTACGAACACCCCAACTGACCGACGCGTGTTCAGACTGAGTGAGTCACAGTGCAGCTCTTGACAAGCCGCTCTTGTTATCTTGAAAATTTACAATATTATCGAACAGAGCAATCGATCGTTGTACGGATCGCACTCCTGTTCGCCAAAACAAGTAGTGACTCTTTTCGGACCACGCTCGCCTACGTTTCCACCGACAACAGAAGCAGGCTGCGCTCTACGCTCTGTGAAATGTGTCCCAATCATGTTTCCACACAGAAAATTTTAGCGGGAAGTCCGCTCGAGCCATGCAGAGTACAACAGATTCTCGTGGGAGAATAGAGCAGAGGACGACTTCTACCTCGCCCTGCTCCGATCCACTCTGATGACAGAAGTGTCCTCATTATACTCTGATCGAGAGAAGTGAAAGGCCAGGAATTCTCTTTCCGACAAGAAAAACAGACCCGGGGAGCTCCTTGAGAGAGACCGCAGACCACAACTCTGGAGTACCAAACGGCTCGTATCTCCCCGAAAGACATGAGGAGGGCATTAGAACAATGATTCAAGTTTCCGTATCATTGGACCAGAGACAAGACTGGCAACAGAGGCGATTGCAGAGATGAAAGTTTTTCTGATCTGACCGGATAATCCTCCCCAACAGGGGAGCTGGACATCGATTTCCCCCCAGTTTGGGATGGCCATTCCTCACGAATTTCCAATCAGACTCCGGGATATCGGACTTGTCCGACTCCGGTTCGGACCCAGCAGGGAGCATGGCACCCTTCGACCGGTTCACACAATCGGTCCCAATCAGGGTGATCACGATTCTATCCATGTTTAATCCGGTGTTCATCGGAAACAAAGCAGTCATCGAGATAACGCCGATTTTTGCATTTTCGGCACGGGCAAACGAGACCTTCATCCCTCACGACAGGGCCGAGTTTACACAGAGTCTCAAAGGCGCGATCGTCTCGGCCTCATCCCTTGTCATTTTTCCTCATCTCGTGACAGGGGGCTCCATTTCGAACCGCAGAAGAGCACTGGGACTGACGCCGTTCTCGACTCCCGGAACTAAACTCCAAAGGTCCATCATCGTATGAGCTGGAAAAGAGCTCCGGCGAAGGCCCATGAAGATTTATGGCTTTCTCCATTGCCGACTTGTTGAGAGGGGGAGATCCATTCACGGGATCATCACCTTGAGGAATTCGCCGGCGGACGATAAGTAGGTCTATCCGATCGATTTCCGGATCAATACTAAAACATTAGTTAGCGAAAACAGACGCTTTCCGAGAACGGTGGTCTGCCCGGAACTCCCACCTCCGCCGCGTCTGGTTCCTCCCTCAGCTATCACAGCTGATGGGCTCGTCGGAGTTCCCTTATTTGCTCGCAGGAGATGTTCCGACGTTGGAAAACGCAGCTCTCTTCTGATTCGAGCCGGGCTTCTGCTGAGAACGAGCGAGATGTCTGAAATGACGGCCCACTTCCGAGTGTCCCGGGTTCCCGGAAAGAAATTTCTCCCTCGGACCGATCGAAAGCAAATGGGCTCTGAGCAGAAGCCCACCTCGACCGCTGCGCAGCGATTATTCTCAC